GCTATGCCGACGTGGGCGGACTTCTACGACGAATACCGCCAAGAGCTGCCTACGCCATCACCAGCAGCCCCCTTCCACCTTACCGACGACCAACTCATCCACTTCATTCGCACCCGTTCACCGCGCCGCGCGGGGGGACTCGACGGCTGGACGACCAAGGAGGCAAAGGAGTTACCCGACGACATCCTTCGCCTCTTCGCCAGCGTCTTACGTGCTATGCAACGCACTGGCACCATCCCCGAGCCCCTCCTGCACGTGCCAAACCCGTGCCTCCGAAAAGGCCGAGGGGAACTCCCGACGGACCAACGGCTTCTCTCGGTTCTTTCCGTGTGGATGTATGCGTGGGAGGCGCCGGCCTACCGTAGCCTCACGACCTGGCGGCAAGGATGGACCCATGCCACGAGCTTCGGCGCCGTTCCCAAAGCCACCATTGGGGATGTCAGCACTTCTCTCGCCCTGCGCATCGAACACGCCAGGACTTTACTCCTCCCCTTAGCTGGAGCAGCCCTTGACCGACAGAAGTGCTTCGACTACCTCATCGCGGACATCTGTCTAAACCTTGCGCTGCACGCGGGGTGCCCACAAGACATCGTTACTGTCCGCCGAAACTTCTACAGACACCACAAACGCTACATCCGCATGAACGGAGCGTACTCCAGGGACCTGGCCAGGACAAACGGTCACCTCCAGGGCAGCTCGTGGTCCCTGGATGACATCAAGCTGCTCATGTGCGTGTGGACAAAGAGGCAGCACCGATACGTTCCTCGATCACTCAGCACTACCTTCGTTGACGACAGCAACTCCACTACCCACACCGCTCCTGAGCTGCAGAAATCTCTCGACGAAACCGCCAAGTTTGACCGATTCTCCGGTCAACGCATTCACCCTGGTAAAGTGGCAGGGTGGGCGCTCACCGATGAGCTGCACGCCGCCGTCACCCAGCTCACACTGGCGGATCGCCCCCTCCGAGTGGTCGATTCCTTCAAGCTCGTCGGGAGTTACATCAACGCCGAGGCAGCGCCGGCTCCAGCCGCGCTTAACCTCACGGCCACCGCAGACGCCCGTGTGCGGAGGGCGACTATCCGCCTGCCGCGCATTGGCAAGCTCCCGTCGCCGATGCTTATCAAGGCGCGGCACGCCCGATC